GTTATTGATTTTGTTCATTGTGTGCTTTGGAGCTGTTTTGATTGAATTTGTTGATATTGGTAGATTTGACTTTTGTAGACATAACAAGTGAATTAATTGAAAGAGATTTTTGTTAAGGGGTTTAGAATTTACATCATCATTTGAGAGTAGAATTGAATTGTGTGTGGTTGTATCTTGCAATTTATGTAGAGAAGAAGACTTGGTAGCAAATTGCCCAAAATTTGGTAGATTTTTTTTGAAAACTCGACAAGCCAGTTCTAATAGTTATCCAGCAGGTAGATGGTTGTTGTAGTCGACTAAAAATGAACTCTGAAACTAGTTTACATCTCAATTAATTGTTTAACTTAATTAGTTTTTAGTTTGTTCTTACTAGAAGCTACTAAATTAGTGCATGCCAGTATCATTCAGATTCCTATATGTCAGTCATTCACGAATTGATGGAGTTAATGTGAGGGTTTCATGTATGGATTTCTTATAAGTTCAGGGTTATTATAGATCTATGCATGTCAATTGGAAATTTTCTCGCACAGTTTGATTTCGTTATGATTGGTATATTTTCGCACAGTTGGAAATTTTGTTTCATATAAGCTTTTCAAAGTTTCTAAATTCTTGCTGGATTAGCAAGTGTGGGACTTTGATTATGGAACTTTCAGTTTATTTCCTTTTATGAATTGTGATGAGCTGTATGTTGAGGATTTTAACAACAGAAGTGTTTCTGAACGACCTTGGCGTTTCCACTTCGTACTTCTTCCTAATCCAGTTAATAGAGTTATATGTGTACACTATAGATTGGAATCCCTTACATAACTAAACAAAACACAAACTCAGTAGTTGGAAGAAGCCTTTGTAGCGTATTTTCTTAATTCAGTTGACAAAGTATATAGTCTCACCATGATTTTTGTCTGAATGAAGTTTTGAGTGCATTGGAACTGGTCTTACTCAGCTTAGTGGGGATTTTTTTGCTATTGTTAAATGATATTAGATGGGTGACATCCCCACTGAGGAAGCTTTAAAGATGCGCTCAACTTAATTAACAATATAAATAACCTCTGCCTTCCTTTCCGTGCAGAGAAATAAGTTCTATTGAGATGGACTCTTTCTTCAGAGCCTTTGGTGAAGAAATGCAATCATCAGAGTGTCCTTTCGCTGATCAGGGTATCCAACGATGCCCATTTTTGAGGAACATCAACGAACCTACTAATTTCACTTTCTCATCGCCAGTGAATTTCGCAATGCCTGTAAGTTCCCTTTGCTTCTATATTTCCTAAAATGAAATGTATAATTTTCTTTTCCAATTAGCTGATATCTTCTGAGTTGGAGCATGTAACATATTGTTGTTTTTGCTACGATATGACAGGGACAGAGAGCAAAAGGTCCAATTTTTGAAGATGGTCCAAATTTTGATATGGCATTCAGGCTTTTCCATGGGCATGATGGAGTGGTCCCACTCTCTGGGAGATCATTCATGCATTCTCAGAAATCAGACCAGGAGCAGGCACGACCTCTGTTCAATCCTTTAGCTGCAAAGGCAGCCACCATCAGCCTCTCAGCTTTTGGACCTGGGGGACCCTTTGGCTTCGATTCATTTTCTGAGAAGTGGAAGAATCAAAATAAGAAATCCAAATCGTCTAAGAAAGAGTCTTCTTCAAAGGTAGGTCATAACCTGCCCAATGTACTGCTCAATTTTGCATAATTTGTTCTATCTCTCTGTTTTCTTTATTTTGACACTTGTTTATTTGGCATTCCAGGGAGCAAATTCATCGCATGAAGCAGTAGGGAACGAGTGGCTGGAAACTGGTCAGTGCCCTATTGCCAAGTCTTATAGGGCAGTCAGTGGGGTCCTGCCCTTGGTTGCAAAGGCTCTGCAGCCTCCTCCAGGCATGAAATTTAAGTGCCCTCCGGCCATTGTAGCTGCTCGAGCAGCTCTGGCGAGGACCGCTCTCGTTAAGACAGTCCGTCCTCAGAGTCTTCCCACAAAAATGCTTGTTATTGGGGCCTTAGGCATGGCAGCCAACATTCCTTTGGGAATATGGAGAGAACACACAAAGAAGTTCTCACCTTCCTGGTTTGTGGCAGTGCACGCTGCTGTGCCTTTCATAGCCATGCTTAGGAAATCTGTCTTGATGCCTAAGACGGCTATGGCCATGACCATTGCAGCTTCTATACTGGGACAGGTTATTGGATCCAGGGCCGAGCGTATTCGATTGAAAGCAATAGCTGCAGAGCGAAAACCTGAGATTGCAACTTCTGCTATTGGATCCAACCAACTTCAGGTTGTGGCCATTAGAGGTGGGCATTGCAGCGAACTTGCAGAATGGGACCCAGTTATGAAGGTGAGTGGGCGTGCTGGAGATGATGTGTGTTATTGATGCCCGTCTTGATTTAACAGTCCTGTTGTGTTTACAAGTGTTTGTTCTGTAATCCTGGTCCATGATTGCTCTCAGGCAATTGAGTTAAAAAAAAAAAAGCTATTTGTGAGTACTAAGCAAGAAGAGAATAAGGAAATTGTGAATTGACAATGATTAATAATATGCAATTCTATGTGATAGTTATTTGTAATGTCATCCATGTTCTTCTCTTAATCTGTTAGAACCAAATGAGTCATCTAAAATAACACATGCATCTGCTCCATTAAATTTTGGATGTGATTGATAAACACTAAGGAGTTGTGTGCTGTACTAAGGAGCTATTTTAGCAGACTTTTGCTTAATGATCGCCTTGAGGGTACTTTGTACAAGTTACAGTTTCAGGCTGTTTGTTTGTAAGAAACTCAGATGTTCTCGCAATCTAGACTTCAGCAACGGTAAATGCCCATTACCCTATCTGTTCCTACTTTAACTCATTAAGTTATAAGTTGGAAAAACTTTTCTTTCCTAAACTTTCATTGAAGGGGTATGGATGCTCTTACTACGTCTACACAATCTAGGTTGGATTCCCTCTGTCAATCATGCATGATGCAACCTCTATTTTCTTTCATTATACAGCCTTCTTATATAGAAACAATGTATTTGCTGATGTTCTGCATTCAACTTGCTTTGTGTGTACTGTAAAGTTTGCAGACTGCATCATAGAATTACCACAAAAAGATAAGAATAGATCAAAACTAGAAAAACGAAACACTGCACACATATTGGAGGTTGGGACACATGAAAATTTATCGATTTTGTTGTCATCTTAATGGTTACAGTAAATGGATGACATTCTACACTTCCTGTCAGAAAGATTAACACTAGCAGAATTGTCCTTCTATCCCTTATGGAAATTATACATTGCAAATTCAAAAACCAATAAAGCTGTCAGAAGAACCATAGCTAATCATTCTAGTGGTTAACTCTACCCTTGAATACTGTCCAAAATTTCAATGTACCCAAATTGAATATCAGAATTTGTAACAATAATATGAATCACACAAACATAGATCAGCAAAACCCAAGCACTAAAAGCAATAATTCCAGTTGATGTGGCTTGAATTTTCTCGCTCATCGAGCACCACCAAGAAAATATGTCACAAATGATGCGCCCTCCAATTTGAAGATTATGGGAACTAATCATACGCAATTTGATCACATTTCTCAGTCATCAGCTTCCAAATCAATAACGGGGAGGATGCTGAAAGCTGATGAGCCAAGATGCATGCCTCGAACCACTGCTCCATACCCCACATTTATTCGGTGACAGAGAAGTAAGATGGCATCCCACAGTGCAGTTCTTCCCTGGGATGTCACAAAATATGAGTCATAGAAACAAGTGAAACACTACATTGCTATGCATTGTCCCAACAGGTAGGTGTATGCTTGTACCAGTTGCACATTGTGAGAGAAGCAGCATAAATAACTAAAATGATAGGATTATTAGGTAGGACAATAATAACAATGAACAGACAGACCTTCTTCTTGTCAATCAGGCCATAGCCGTTGACCAGTTTTTACTGAAGACTGAGGGGAAAAAGAGTCTATCATGTATTTTCTAATTATATATGACAATACTATCACAACTGTTTTAGTAACAATTGTCATCCTTCGTATCTAGACAAATATCAAACTCTATGTTGTCACAGGCGAGGCGCCAGAACTCCATATACCGCCTTGGCCTGCCCCAGACAGGACCTGTAACAAATTTTTTAAAAACTATGTATACTTCTGAGCAGTTTTTTATTTCTTAAAAAATATACCCTTGCAGCATTTTTTAGCAACTTTCTATCCCAAATATCTTCATTTCTCAACTACAAACATTCTAACAAAAGAAATCTTGTCAAAAAACCATAAAACTATTAACAAAAAGGGTGTAGCTCAATGGTAGAGCGCTCGCCTTAGTGCGAGAGGCTTGGGGTTCGATTCCCTGCACCTTTACAAATTATAAAACAAAAAAGCAACACAAAATAACACAATTTTTCAAAAGTAGGCATTCGTCTGAAGGTTTACTTTCACAGCGGGTAATTTTTTGTTGTAGACGGCCTATTGAAGATCCTTAACATTCCTTCTTGGTGTTTCATTAGAGGGTCTTCTAAATTTACTTATAAGCCTATTTCTGCTTTATCATTGATCTATATTATTTGATAGGTGATAGTCACCAACAGAAAAGAAACCAGCCCAAAAATACTAAAATAGTCAATGATACAAAAGATTAGTGATTATATGAGTGATAAAACCGAAGTCCAGCTGCATCTGATAGATAAATACTCCATTTTTAAATAGCAGTTACCTGAAGAGAAAACTGCAGCTTCTTATCCCAGTACAAAGCGAAAAGTGGGGGGCTTTGCTTTCCAACGACCAGTACACAAGCTCCTGGATGAAGAATAGAGGGTACACCAGATATGACTGCAACATATTTTTCAGGAAACCTTTCTTTTGGCGGCAAAACTCCTAAGAACAAGGGGTTCTTGCTGGATTGGGCACTGGCATATGATGTAGGATCCACGTGTAACATCCACTTCGGGTGTTCCAAGAAAGCACAAAAGAGATATAGAAGCAAGTGAGAATCAGTCGGAAGCTCAAGAGTCCACTTCTTGTTCACCTTGTCATAAACCTCCCCAGTTCCCAGATACTCGTAATTTTTCAAGCAAGTTCCTTCTGCAAGTTCTATGAAATTCACAGGTGTACAGATTATATTAAATCGGCATCTTGTATTGCATTTCACTTACAAAAACTGCTTCAATTTCAGTTTGTTTTT